TTACATAGATATGCTTACATATTGAAAAGGTGTATGCTCATAATAGGTGACAATGATGGATCTCTTCACATTCCACATATGCACATATTTATGATGTACAGCCATAAAGGAAAACAGATCATTTTTGTCCAATCAAATATTCTCCAAATTGAGAATCACCTTCCACTGAACTGCAAATCAAATCATGGTTCATCAATTTAATAATATAAATATAAATAATAAAAATAATATTTCAGTTGGTCATATTCATCAGAAGTCTCAGTGACAACTCTGAAATATATTTATACATATTTATAATGATAAATATAACATTTATATTTACATTTATTATATTTATATAATATTTATTTATAAATATTCTAAATATTTATAAATCCATATTTAAAAAAACGATTAAATGTGATTTGTCGCTGCAAAGATTTTCAGCTGTTCTTCCTGTCTTAGGTGTCTTACATTATGGACAGTGCAGTTTATTGCTCTAGCCACATCTGCAGTCCTCATGCCTCCCTGCAGAAGAACTATGGCATGTTCACGCAGGTGTTCAGGAACACTGGGCGTCTTTCTTCTGTTTTTCAGAGTCAGAAAGGTCTCTTTAATGTCCTAAAGTATTGTAACCTTAATTGCCTGCTGCCTGTAAACTGCTGTCTGAAGTGTTTGAAGGACTGTCCCAAAGCTGCATGTGCAATAATTGTTTATGGTTCACTGAACATGCATGAAAAACATTGTTTAAACTCTTTCTAATAAAGATCTGTAAAGCATATTTGGATTTTACAAAATTATCTTTGAAATACAGTATCCTGCAAAAGGGAAAACATTTATAAGAAATGCAGAAATAGACCTTAATCAGGTTAGATGCCATATTTGTATGTAATTTCATGCATTACCTAAACATTACAATGCTATACACCTTGTAATTCTAAAATAAACGTTAAACGTTGGCAAATGTTTTCAATTTAATTCTTTGTGTTAGCACACACCAGTAAGTGGGCCTTGTTGGTGGATCAAGGCACTTGCTTTACAAATTGTAAAAAAATAAAAATAAAAACACAAAATGAGCAAGCATATTTTTTGATGCATGAAGTAGTGTATTTATGTATGACTGAAAGCAGAATACTACACTCGAGAATCGAGATCCTCGATGTAGGAACCTCAGGAACACGCCTGAGAAACGCTGGTGTAGTGTGGGCTCTGGTCAGCAGGAGGCAGTATTTTCAACGGGATGTGCAGCGAATCTGCAGCGGGTGTAAACCTCGTTCACTGACGCTGGGCTGGTTTGTGTGAGAGGGGGACGGAAGGAGATCTGTTTCAGGTTAGCTGTGTGTTAATAGTATGCGAAAGATGCTTACCATAATATCTAACATTCTGAGGGGAAGCGCCAGCAGGAACGTAAGTATTTTATCTTTTGATTCATAAAATTTGCTGTTTTGCTTAGTAGAGCAAATTACGAATGTTTTGACGGCTAGTGCAGCGCAGTCATGCCATGTTGACCTTGCAGGGTACGCAAGGCCCGGCTGACACCCTTCTAAAGACACATTGCTGTTAAATTCTCATGTTGGTGCTAGTTCTTTCACGTCAACCAACGTAGCATTTCTTTTTATTATTGATATAAATATAATCAGATATTTTACTATTTGTTCAAAGTGATTTAGCTTGGCTAGCTAGCTAAAATGCACTGGGAGGGTAACGTCTAAAACTGGTTAGTCAATGAAATGTCACTGAAATAATAACCTATAATAAAACACTGTAACAAATGAGAAACAATGTACTGTTCATAAAACCGTTGGTTTAAATAGTAGTTTGTTGCCGTAATTCTCTGTCAGAAATAAAAGGTGACCTCAGTGAGAGAGACAGTCTGTCTTTCATCATGTTACTGACCAGTGGCAAGTGGACAACAACGTTTTAGTCTGTTTCTAATCGTTTAGTATTAATAGTTTAATGCCACTCAGTCCTTGTCAAGCCCTAGTGTCGAAAATATATAATATATAAAAATTAAGTTCTATTATTGTTGTTATTATTATTAAAAAGCAATATTTCTTCAGGCTCATATTTTTCCTAACCATATTATAACACACTTTAAAGACACTTTTATTGATTTTTAATTTTTAAACAATTGGCCAGTCACTTTTTTATTATACGCTTCTATGCTCTATTGCCACTATTATAGTTTGATATGCAAAGTTTTTTTCTTGTTTTTGAGCCAACTACATTGGTCTAAAAATATAACAAAACAAGAAAGGAATATTTTGATGTCTTACCCTAGATGTCATATTAAAAGTCACGGTTTTAGAGTTCATATCTCTAATCAGAGAGTCATTTTTTCCCCTCTAACTGTGACCATGTCTAATAATATAAGATTTGTTGACACAATGAAATGAATGTCATTGCTCTGTTGGCACAATAAAATTAATTACATTTTGCAGAACAAGACAAGCATCTTTCATGAAAATGATTCTCTTCTCATCTTCTATTGTTTTCTCTCTCAATCTCTTTCTCTTTACTAATTCTCATGTCTTTCTTTCTCTCTCTCTCTTTCAATATCACTTTGCTCTTTTTTTAACTGTTCCATGGGCTGCCTTAAAGGGAGCTGAACTGGTATCAGAGGTAAGAGTTTTAGAAATGGGCTTATTGACATGACATCTGTGCCATCTGCTGTTTTTTCAGTTTTTATTCTTTCGGTGGTTATGAACATTAAGATCATTATTTTTGCTTGAAATTATTTCACTACAAAGACTTTCTTCCTCACTTATGATTTTTAGATCATACTCTCTTCCTCACTGAGTTTCCAATCACTGGTTTTGTCACATTAAACATGCTTCTGCTACATGCTTTTTACTTATTTCTCAAATATTGTGGCGGTTTTAGTTTGCTGTGTTGTGGGTTTGAGGGAAATAATTCTGCTCTATTTACCCTGGTCAATTACTACAGCTCACATCTTCCCTTTTAATCTCTCTCTCTCTCTCTCTCTCTCTCTCTCACACACACGCACACACACACACACGTATGTTAAAAGCACTCCCAGTTTTGTCATGAATATTTTTTATAGGACATCAATTGAAACCTGTTTGAGATATATTGAGGCTTTCTGGTATTTGAATTTGTGATATGATTTGGCCAATATTATATGTCCATGTGATTAAAAAAAAGATGTCAGTTTCAGTTCTAAAAGTTGACAACAGCTTTGTCAATGGATAAATTTTTTTGTTAATTCTGAGTAAATATTGCATAAAATATTTCATGATTAAATTCTCAATTCTCATTATTAAATTGGATGTGTGGATATCGGCATTATATTGATTAACGGGCACTCTGCTGTCTAGATATCAGTATCAACATCGGCCATTTTGACCATTTGAATGTTATCTGGCTGGTAGCCATCAACAGTTGTTTATTGCCTGTGAGTAGCTTAGTGTAGGTTAGCATAGATTAGATTTTTATTGGTTTAGTGCAGTAAAATGTCGTCTTTGTGGTCTCTAAACACCTAAAAGTCTCGTCTTGCTCCTTTAAACGTTCCCTTCTTATGGTCTTCTGAGTCTGACCCTCTGGAGTGACCTGTGCCCATCTTTTTACAGTCCTCCACTCTCCGGGCCGTTCTGCAGCTCCTGGGTGTCCAGAGCGAATATGCTAATTTGACCTCTCCACATGACCATGATCTCGACCCCCCCCTTCACGCTTAAAAGATACACAACCCCACAGCCCTTTAGTTTCCTCTCCATTAACACAGATACCTTTAAACGCTCCCATAGAATACAAAGCTTTAGGCAGTGGCCAGTCTTCAGGAGACTCGGGAGCACATGACAGACCTCTGACAGATGTTGCTTCCTCCGAGGCTATAGCTCAGAAAGAAAGTTATGTGGAACCGGTGATGACTAGTGGTTCATCCACCTCAGAAGAATTAAGCATGGTTACTCTGGTTACAGAAAGAATATCAGAAAGAGAAAAAACTATATTTGAAAAGATCATCAGTCCCGTTATAGATGTTCCTCCATCACCTGCCCTAAATACAGTTAAGTCGCCTATTAACCCAGCCACCAGTCCAGCACAGTTAACCCCTGTAGTAGCTAACAGCAGTTTTACCTAGGGCTGTGACGGTATGGGATTTTCCTTACCGCGGTGAAGACGCAACAAATCACCGCGGTTTGGCGGTTAATCGCAACCCCGCCCTGATTATCCCGCCACCAGGCAAGAGGATCAAGAGTGCAGATCGAGGGCTTCCTCCTGCAAATACCTTGCGACTTCAGTGTCTGCACGGATTCTTTTTGGGACCGGATTGGAGGACTGTGCTTTTCTCTTTCCAAGCAGGTCTGCAAGATTCATTTTTTTTGGAGGAGGAGGAGATGGTGCACTTCCTTCTCCCTCTCCAGCCGCCGAGGTACGCATGGCACCTTCTCCATCCCCGCCATCACTCCGCTCATCGGGCATTGCCAGCATCTCCTCCAGGAGCGCATCTTTAACGTCATCTTGCCGTCAGCGCAGCTGAAGAGTTCTGCGTTCAAATGCACGCAATAGGCTTAAGCTTGCCGCAAAGCATCGGCAAAAGTAATTACCATAAATGTGTCCGGGGGAAACAGTAAGGAGATATTTGAATTATTTACTAATAAACTAGTGTTTTCTGAGTCGGTGTCGCAAGGATGAAGTTGTCGATCCTGACTCGCTATCTCTTCATTAGAGGCGCCTTTAGAGAGAAGTGCATCTTTACGGATTATGATCATAATGAAAGAGTTTTTGATTTGTTTTATTTCGTTAAGTAGTAATTTAAAGCTTATCTATAGATATATTTATCATGTCTGTGAGGCATGTATTCGCTGAGTTTCGGTCCATTTTTGTGAAGCGCTCCTGTTCAAGACGAGACGGCAGAAAGCGGATCATGTTTGATTTCTTTATTTTATAAAAGCACAACGTTTTGTTGATATTGTGAGTGCACACAAATAAAAGTAGACCCTTTACAGTTACGAATGATGTATTACTCTTACCTTTATGAGCAAAAATGACGG